AAATTAGGGACGGCTAGCGCAGATAGCCCTCGTGTAGCTTTGCGCGAAATTCAAAAACAAAGCCTCCGGTGTTTTTTTTGTATTTCTACTGAAGAACGAGATGAAATCGATGTACTTAAATGCAGCCATTTTACAAGCTATCAATGAAACTGACGTAAGAACGTTAAATTACTATCACCATTCAACTTACAAAACAAGCAGTCAACAATAGAGATGTGGCTGCACCTCTGAAACGTAAACTCCAGGTCATGAAAATTTAAATATATGATCCGATTTTTGTTTGTTTGTAATTAAGCACAAAGCTACACAATGGGCTATCTGTGCTCTGCCCACCACGGGTGTCGAAAACCGGATTCTAGCGTGGTAAGTCCGCAGTGCCACTGGGGGACAACCCGATTTTTAATCTTCCATGTTATTGTTATATTTTATGAAAAAAGTAGTTCGGACATGGTATCCTGCTTATAATGTTATTGCTATTGGCGACATATGGATAAAGTAATGAGGGAATATATACTTATTATATCGTAGTTGTTATACTCTAGGAAAAAAATAAAGGTGTAAGCAGCGTGCACTGTAATAGTTTATGAATAAAAATAATGTAAGAACTGTACACCCCTACCCCCAGTGGCTCAGCGGGATGTCTGCGTATTTATAACGCTAAAAATCAGGTTTCGATACTCTTGGTAGGCACACCATAGATAGCCCATTGTGTAGCTTTGTGCTTAACTACAAATAAACAGGAACTCTATATCCTTTTTACAATGTAATTGTTATGAATAAAACCAGTTAAGGTACTATATCCAGTTTATAACATTATTATCTCCGAAGGTGGACATAGAGACCCCTGTGTGTGTGTTTCTCGAAAACATCTAAACAGATTTACACGAAAATTGGTATACAATTGGACTATGACCCAACTTTGAAGTGATTAGTTTTTGGAGTGTGAGTCAAAACTCACGATTTTTTATATTGTTGTGAAGTTGGTGTGGAGTATCGAAAATATGCTGACATGGTGTGTTCAGGCATATCGGGTGCTATTTGTTACCTGAAATGATGTCATGATATAAAGATCAACTCAAGGTCATCAGCACGCGTAAATTTGCATAATTTCATAGCCCACGCTGTATTAAAGCGAAATATTTTCGATTTAAAAAATTAGGCGAAACCCATAAGGAAAACAAGATTTCCGAGAAATATCGTTTGTGCGCTACAACTTTTGTATTGACACATTTTAACCCAGGTTGAAATTTTCAGGTTACATTTGACTGCTTTAATATCACCTTTATATAGTGACCTCCAACGTGTTTAATTTCACCTTTATATCACCTTTATATAGTGACCTCCAACGTGTTTAAAGATTCAGATTTTTGATATACCACAACTACTTCACAACAACGGGGAAAATCAAGACTTTTGACTCACTGGTATTAATATGTTAAGTGATAACAGAAATGTACCGCAAGGATATAACTTCCATAAGAATAACTTATCAAACATATAATCGTTCTATGTGCAGAGAATGTTTAATTCGGATATTCTAGCACATTTCATAGGCTATCTGCGCTAGCCGTCACTAATTTTGAACAGAGAGACTACAGGGAAACCAGCTAGCTTTTCATTGCTAAATTAGGGAGGCCAGCGCAGATAGCCCTCGTGCAGCTTTGCGCGAAATTCGAAACAAACCAAACCAAAAGCCACGCCTGGCTCCTATGTTAATATTTTAAATATTTTCGTATAAATTTGCTGTAAACTTTAGTTAAATCACATACAGGTGTTGTTATATATATCTATATATTATTTTGGCTCAGCTTTGATCTGTAACTAGTCCGTGTTGTATGGTTGGACAATATCGGAAAGTTCAATGTACACCAGCAGTGACAGGCAACTTACAATGGCACTTGAATGACACAAAAAAGTCATGCGTCTTTTACGTTAAAGCACTTGACAATTACTTACATAACACAGATTATAAATCAGTGCACAGACCCTATATAGTCCCTTATAAGATTGCAAGCCATTAACAGCTCAACTAACGGGAGAAAATAATGTACAAAGCCAATCTCGACCAGCGAAGCATGATCCCTATACTTGGGTAACAAGTGTGATGAAACGTCACTGTAAAACTGATAACAATTGTAAGCACTTCTTCGCTCTTAACTGCCCTATACATACAAGTCTTACTGGGGCATTTCGTTCCACTTGCCCCCTAGTGGGAACAAGAATGGAGAGCTCCGATGGAAGGTATGTGTAAACTCGTGGCAAGAGTTATTTTTTTCATTCAACCATACACAAACAAAAATATCTAATTTTTGATTATCAACTGAAGGTAAACAGTTAATCTAAGCAACTTCGTACTAATGCATAATATTTTAATATGCACAGATATTTTATCAAAATTTCCAAGAGCAGTAACATTAGTACAGTCCATGTTGACTTATCATAGCAACACCATAAACAGTAAAAACCGAAAAAAAAATGGCATGTATGTAAAGCATTTGTTACCTTACAGCACAAACACTGTAAACTTTCTGTTTTGGGTTTTTTATTTTCACATACTTTAGATGTAATCACTGAAAATTGAAAACGCTACATGGTACTTACTGTTCATTGTCCTTTTTTGATTAACTTCGTTCCATTCTTCAACCACTTACAAGTTAATTAATTGAATAATTTCATCTGTTTAATATTGTGTCGACTACTAACGGTGAAGTACGAAAAATAAGTATGTAGTTAAGCAAAATAATTCTAGTTGATAAAAAATAGCAAAAACCTTAATCGTTAGTCTTGAACTTTTCTTCTGAAGTTCTAAGGGGAAAATTACGTTGATTTACAACGACGGCGAATACGCACACAAAAAAAAGGGAAGGTGGCGAATATTATAAGGCCCCAAAAATATAAAAAAAAAAGTTACAAAATACAAACTGAACAAAGTACAGGAAGATTAAATGATACAAATACTTGGCGAAGAATAGAAAGATACATTAAAAAGCGAGAATATTATATAAGCTAAGGAAAAACTAAGTGTACGACGTATTCAGTTTTCAACACAAGATGAGGAAGAAACAGAGATTAAAAAAATACAGACGAGAGGCACAGAATGAAGAAACCAGACAAGATTAAGACCACTTCGAAGCTTTAAAGACCTTAATTGTTGTTGCAATTAAATCTCGGATATTAGAGTGACGATATCAGACCACAGTGCTGGCTGAAGTGATTATTTATGAACACACTTCCGGTAAAAAGAACAGAAACGATTTAATTTGCAGTTGCTACATATTACATTAAGAGGAAAGATGGGGTGTTCTGTTGAACCTCCATTTCGGAGGAGGTCATGGGAGAAAGTAATTTATAAACAGCAAGAAAAATAACAAGAATAAAAAACGGTAACAGTTTCATTTAAAAGATTACGCGTGTTATAAGATGTCAAAAAAGACCAGGTCAAGTCCCTTGCCTTACTGATTTGTGTTGGCTAAGTGTTAGTATGGTGTGCATGAAGGGAGCATAAAGACTACATATACGTGTGTGGCACGCTATTTAGGAAAAATGTAACACCATTATCTCCAAACATGAGACTCGTGGATTGCGTATGTTTGTTTTTCGTTAACGCCATTTGATGCGGTACATTATGCGTTGAGTTGTGGTTGTACAACATATTGCATGTATTATCTGTGATTGTGAACAAACGTTACTTATTGCATGTGCTCTTTAAAATTTACTAGTGCGTGTTTGTTTGTTTATTTATTGTTACGTGCAAAACTACACAGAGGGCTATCTGCGTTATGTCTATCGCAGGGATCAGACCCCGGTTTTTCAGCTAAGCCACCAGAGGCAACTCTCAGGCTTCTTGTTAGTTTTAGATATTAATATGGTAAATTCAGAGAGTGTAGTTACTAGTATAACACTTAGAAACAATTGGGGAAAATTAAATTCTCATAATTAGTGTAATAATAACAAAACAAATAATAAAATCATTACTACTTTCGTCAAACCTATAAGTACAGCTGTACTGAAATATAAAAGAGTCCGTCACATTATCACGCCCCCACGGCTGAAAGGGCGAGCATGTTTGATGGGACTGGGATTCGAACCCGCGACCCACAGATTGCGAGTCCTAACCATCTGGCCCTAAAGGTTAGTAGTAAACTTAGTTAGAAACTGCTGCATCAATTTGTTTAGGTTAAAGTGTCGTCAGCCACAAAAATTTTAATTTCTAAACTAAATATTTTGAAGGTGAGCGAGCATCTTAGAAAGAAAGAAAACAAATACAAAAATCTGAGTATTAATACACAAATGCCTGAATGATTTTGTAATTTTTAGTACTGGTAATATATAAAATAATAAAATAGTAAGTACACATCAAAACTGCATAATTGAAAAAAAAAAAGAAAAAAAGCCGAATGATGGTAACAACTAGAAGCTGTGTTGTTACTATAATAACCTTTCATACGCTCAATTTCTTGCTTTCCATTCTCAAATTTAAATCGTTCTTTATTTCATTGTTTTTCTATACATACTAAATTTAATTACATAAAACAATGTACAATCTTTTTGACGTGTTGTTTTTCTGTTTAAAAACGTTTCTTTGCAGCTTCTATACACTTCTGATAATCAGTATAAAGTTAAATGCCTCTTTGCCATTTAAGAATGAAATATCAAGGATAGGTACTATTTTACAATATGGTTTCAACAGGTCAAGCTTCGTTAGCTTCAGCATTATTCACTAAGCCTAAAGGTTAAAAACTTTAAAATGAAAAGTTTGATCGTTAAAGCAGGATAACAAACCGGAAAAAGCACTCAAACCTGTACGATTATATGTAGTAGCGGACCAGTACTTTTGTATCTTACTACAAGGACCAACTTCAGCAGCTTATGAACTACTTATTCAACTTCAGTACTCTTCAAATTGTAAGAAGAATGTTTTGTTTCTATAGTACACCATGAGTGGAAAAGTTTCCAAGAATCAGGACGCACTTAGGCTTAAACGTCTGAAGTTGTAATTATCATTCCGCAATGTACGGGAATCTTATATTGCGAAATACTGGTTAGCAAGGTCTACCATTTTAGGCATTGTTCTTCGATTATTAGGCTTCGTAAGTCCTTTGCTTATAAGTTATACCATTTTCCTGCTACTTCGTTTGCAGAATCTTTGACGTTGGTAACCAAGAAACAAATAACGGCCTCATATACGGGAAAGGGTTGGATCTAAGGCAGTACTATCACTCTGTGTTCCCATAAAAAAAAGTGCCCAAGATGTCAAAAACGTACCTCCCAGAAAAAAAGGATAAAATTTACGTCAACTTATTATATAAGCCTATTCAACTACTGGAAGGAAAATGAAGGTGGCGTAATAGTGAACAACGGTTTGTTTGTTTGATGTAAAGCGCAAAACTACACAATGGGCTATCCGCGCTGCAACCGTCACGAGTATCGAAATCTTTAGCGGTGTGAGCCCCCAGACTTGCCACCGGGGGTGGGGGTAGTGCACAACGGAGTGTTAGTCATTCAAGTTTACAAGGAAAACTTTTATTATCTCAATCTATCGCCTTGCTTCTTCTTCGGGAAGTTAATACCTTGCCAATCAAAAAGTAGGCTCAGAACAACTTACTAGTAGATAATACAAAGTTTAAAATCCAACAATGGATTCCATCCAATGCGTGATGATAGAGGAGAACACGTTAAACCAACAGCATTTGTGGCATGGTTATAAAGGATCTGGTGAAATATACAGAACTAAAGATCACAAACAATACTTTAAAATTTACAAATTCCTGTACAAAAGGACAAGGTAAGAAACGTAATTTCAAATATATATATATAATTAATACGAGATATATTTTACAGTATTTGAAAAATAGTTTTAGTGAGAGATACATGGAGTAAAATTCACAAATAATATTTCAAGTTAACATATTTCTGTACAAAAGAATAAGGTACAAAAACAAACAAAAAACGTAATTTAAAGTTTATATTATTAAATATTTTTCCCGACAACTAAAAAATAAACAAGCCAAAAATAAAAAGAGCACAAAAAGCATTTACAGGGGTCATTACCTGTCCTCGTTAATAAACGAATGACTAGCTCGAGCTAGGAGGAGCACATTATATTTTCAGGCCTGGCATGACCTGGTGACTAAGGCGCTCGATTCGCAATCTGCGGGTCGCGGGTTAGAATCCCCATCAATGAACATGCTCGCCCTTTCAGCCATGGGAGCGTTATAATGTAACAGTCAATCCCATTATTAGTTGATAAAAGAGTTGGCGATGGGTGGTGTTAACTAGCTCTAGTTTATTACTGCTAAATTAGGGACGGCTAGCGCAAATAGCTCTCGAGTAGCTTTGCGCGAAATTCAAAACAAACCATATATTTTCTCATTACAACCGCGATTAAATGAAATAGAAAATTACTTCAACAAATGGAAAACTAAGATAAATTATATTCACAAAATAAAATAAAAAAAAAAACGAGCAAACAGCCCCTAAAATTATACCGCTATGGAACTCTTCTCCGAGTAGCCACATCAGCCAAACACCTGGGCCTAGCATACGATTCTAAGTTGGACTAAACTTGTAAACGAAATTAGAAATAACATTTGACAAGAGCAAATTATGTACGACGACCGACTAGCAACAATTGAAAACATGCTTAAAATCTACATACGTACAGTGGTAAAGTATGCCTGCCCAGCATGGTTAAATGTAACCAGATCACAAATAAACAAGTTACAAACAATCCAAAATTAAATAATCACTAAAGCATACACAGTTCCTAGATGTACAAACACAACCTTACTACGCAATTATGCAAACATCCCATGTTGTCAGACAGACTTCAAAATATATCAATAGAATACTTCCAGAAAGATTTTAACAGAAATACATCAGTAAGAACTCTAAAAACTTTATCATACATGATGAAGATAGACCTAAGTACCTCTCACAACTAAATCTAGTAGATTCGTTATGTAACCTATGGCCGCCTACTACAGGCAAACCGGTAGATAGATATGGTTAGTTTTATTTTAAAAGGGTTTTTATGTAAACATAAGATTAATGCTGTGTGTTTTCCTATCGATATCTATGGAACTGTTTGTGTAAAGAAAACTATACGTTGACAACGAACGAAAAAAGCGAAATATCTGCTGGAAAATAAGAAAAATATACGTTGTACATTCATGGACTTTCCGTCTTTATGGTGAATAGGTTGTGGCCAAATGTACTGCTACACACAACATAGTCGAACCTACTTAGCCGAACGTATTTAGTCTCTCCCAGTTTATCCTTTCACTGCATATATTGCATGTAATACTATAGAATATTGATGACCTAAGGTGTATAATACACGGGACACAGTTTGGTTTTGACAGTCATCAGCAGGTTTAAATGCATAAAGAAAATTTCTCTACTAAACCCGATTCTATCCCCTCTTACCTTACAATTGTTAGAAACCCTAGAGATAACGGATGATACCAAAAAAAGTACCCTTAGGTTAATGTAGCCTATTCGTCTTATTGGGGTTATCAGATAGAGTAAACAACTTGTTTGTAGGGCGACTGTTAAAATGCAAAATGGCGAGAATATTTGCTGAATGATTACTTAAACCAATTTAACTATTATAAATACGGGAAATTATTATTAATTCTCTCAAAATAATGGCGCTCTCCAAAGTCCAGGGATGATGGTTTCTTCCTCCTGAATGGGCGATGGTGATGGATAAGTTAAACAAAAAGTGTAGCAGTTTAAAGCATGCTCAAAGTAAAGCTTAAGTTTACATGGACCTGATTTAGGAAGTGGTGGAAGAGAATTCCAAACACCATATAGGTCGTCAATGTAATGTAGCATAAAGTTACCACCTGGGGAGTGCTTTACTTTCTAAAGAGCTACGTCTACCCTATTACCATAAGCTACCTCATATAGTTCGCTGTAAATCTAATCCTCAAATCTCAAGAAGTGATTATGCATGTAAAACATATTTCAAAATCCCATCCACATTGATTAGAGATACGTCATAAAGGTCAACTTCAGCTTTACGCTCATTTAAAAACGACATCAAAACATCAGTACCCCAGGACTGTAGAAACGTCAGGCAAATGCGGGCCGGAAAAATGTTACGATACAAGAAGATTTTCTATAAAAACGATTTTTTTAATACAACAAACAACAAAAATAAACACATTGTTATTTGATGAAAAATATTTCTAAACCTTTATATTGCTATACCTTCATCCCCTTTAATTTATTGTATTTTATATCAATTCAGCATATTCAAGAATAAATAAAATGACAGACTTTGTAAACCAAACACCTCTATAAAAGCCATAGTTTTATATATTTATTTAAGTGTGTGTGTGGATTATATCATAAATTAACTTAACACAGAACTTGTTTTATTTAATACGAAGCAAGACGTAAGTCTCTCACCCTCCGTAACTATTAGCAATTAAAGAGTCCGAAGGCTGTTTGTGTCCTGAAGACCTGCATGCATGTATATACATACTTTTATGTTCTAATACAGTTCTGTATAATTTCACAAACGTGCTAATGTGCTTACTGTAAAGCACTCCGCCGCCATCGTTTCCACATCTCACATTCCCAGTTCTTCAGATTTCCGGAAAGTTTGGAGCTTGTGCCCTAAAGGTTTTGAGCACTCTGCTACCCTGCAATATCTTCTTGAATTGGTATGAACGGATAAAGGCCAGTAAAAACCAAGTTAAAAATAATACAGCCACCAAATTTTGTCACAGGAAGAGTCGAATTTGTTAAGGAAATATTCCGAAAAGGATCCCAAAGCAAATACAATTAGTCTAAGGGATATTCCAAGCTTAGGGTTTTTTAGGTGGACCATAACTAGGAGGGTCTACTGTGATAGGATTTTCAGTTATTAAGCAACTTAGGTTATTTGGAGTTCTTACGCATACCAGCCAACAGAACATTACCAGTCTTTAGTTCTCACGCATTCTAGCTAACAGAGCATTACCAGTCCTTAGTTCTCACGCATTGTAGTTAACAGAGCATTACCAGTTTTTATTCCAACGCATTGTTGTTAACAGAGCATTACCAGTCCTTAGTTCTCACGCATTGTAGTTAACAGAGCATTACCAGTCTTTAATTCCAACGCATTGTTGTTAACAGAGCATTACCAGTTTTTTATTCCAACGCATTGTAGTTAACAGAGCATTACCAGTCCTTAGTTCTCACGCATTGTAGTTAACAGAGTATTACCAGTCTTTTATTCCAACGCATTGTAGTTAACAGAGCATTACCAGTCTTTAATTCCAACGCATTGTTGTTAACAGAGCATTACCAGTCTTTTATTCCAACGCATTGTAGTTAACAGAGCATTACCAGTCTTTTATTCCAACGCATTGTAGTTAACAGAGCATTACCAGTCTTTTATTCCAACGCATTGTAGTTAACAGAGCATTACCAGTCTTTAATTCCAACACATTGTAGTTAACAGAGTATTACCAGTCTTTAATTCCAACGCATTGTTGTTAACAGAGCATTACCAGTCTTTTATTCTAACGCATTGAAGTTAACAGAGTATTACCAGTCTTGAATTCCAACGCATTGTAGTTAACAGAGTATTACCGGTCTTTAATTCTAACGCATTGAAGTTAAAATAGTATTACCAGTCTTTAATTCCAACGCATTGAAGTTAACAGAGTATTACCAGTCTTTAATTCCAACGCATTGTAGTTAACAGAGCATTACCGGTCTGTTTAGTTTTTAGTGAAGTTAAGATTTAAGCATCTATATGGACTACTGTAATTTGTATGTTCATAAACATTATCAATGTGGGCGTCACAGTCTATGACCGCAAACCAATCATTTTTATCAGACATCTTGTTCATAAAGTCTTTTTCAATTCTTATATCCCTGAAAGTACTTTATAAAAATGCTGCTAAGTTATTTTGTTTGAAAGTGTTCAAACCTAAGTTCGTGTATAGGAATACATTGTTGGTTTTTAAACTTTGTGTTGTCAGTTAGTCGTTCTAAGATCTTACTTCTATCATCGGTGGGATAAAGGAGCCGCAACGCGAAACGATGGGGGTTAATAAACATGTTTCAATTGTAAAAGATTGTTATATTTTAGGTTGTAGAACTGATTGTGAATTGGCTGCTGGTGCATCTGTATAAGGGAAAGGCCAAGCAGAAATGTTCCTGCACTGGTATACACTAAAGCAACACTTGTCACCAATAGCGCATCGTTCATTTACAGATAGGTACGAGTTTCGTTGTTCGCGACATTTTGGAAAAGCACGTGGATATTGACATAGTTTGCTTTGTTTGTTGACAACAGTATAAATCTGTTTGATTTAGTTATAGCAAAGCTATTAAGGCTATCTTCCGCCGTTCCTGTTTTTGAACTGTCGTCTAGAGGGAAGGCAACTGGCCAGCAGTCCCCAACTCCAATTCTTAGGCCTCTTTTACCAACGAATAGTGGGAATTGCCCCTCATATTATAACGCTCCCACGGCTGAAAAGGTGAGCATGATCGGCGTGAGTTTCGATACCTGTAACCCACAGATTGTGACTAATGCTTTAATCACTAGGCCATGCCAGACCACTGGACATGATATTTCAAGTATGAAAAGCTGAATAATTATCTGAAAAACCAAATCTAAATTTACGTTAATAAATAACTAAATTATAAAAACAACCGTATAATTTAAAATCGGATAATAGCAGTCATTTCTGAAAAATAAGCAAACAAACTAAGTAAGTGTAATTCTTTAGGACATTTCTTATTAACAGAAGACGATAAAAATAAAAAGGGCTTCGGGGCTCTTGTGCACAAGTAAATTTACTACTGTTAGCCATACAGTCATATGTCAGTCACATGTACACAAAACTGGACATGATGTCCCAAAGACTAACTTGCACACCAAACCTGAACATATTCAAGATATGATGTTTGGGAATTGTCGACACATATATAAGGAAGATGTGGTGGGATGACTTATACACGTTCTAAAAGGGAATGTAAGTAGATAGATAGGCCCTAAATCAAAATCAGACAAACAGCTGACAGAGCAAACTCGTGTTTGATAGATGAAAATAGTTATTAGAATATAAAGCCCCCAGTGGCACAGCGGTATGTCCGCGGACTTGCAACGCTAGAATCCGGGTTTCGATACCCGTGGTGGGCAGAGAACATTGTGTAGCTTTGTGCTTAATTACAAACAAACAAACAATTAGAATATAAAATACACACACGTATATATCTATATCTTTAAGAAACATTCAAGTCCATTCACATACACAGTGTGTTTACTGAGAAGTGAAATGTAGCTGGAATGTGTTTAAAAACTGTGTTTAATTACATAAGCACTTTGTAAACAACAGACCCAAAATGGAAAGTAATTTTGCTTTCCAGCTACTACTACACATACCCAAACAACCGTGCTATAGATGTAAAACCATTTTCACTGATACTTTTCTAAATACATATTAGTTGACTTACAAACAGGGTGGTGTAGATTCTCTCCATCTCAACTTTTTATTGCTCTGCTTTAGGGTTCACGAACTCTAAGCCACATTCATACTCAATTCTGCACAAGGACATCTGGTGCTCCAGAAAAAAGCAACCGAATGTGTATGAAATGGCTTTGATAATGTAACTGTAGCCTTGATACTACTGAGAAAAAAAAAACATCAACAACAACTAAAAACAAATCGTTTTCTTTCTTCATGTAGCTATCCACTCCCACCTTCTTAAATCTTCCAAAATCGCAGTAGGCTGGCAATTACAATTATGTAGCCAATCAGTCTTAGCTTAGTACGTGAGAGCAGTCATCCTTCTCAAAATTTGACATTTGCCAGGCTTTAGAAGACTGGTATACAAAAAAAAAAAAGAAAAGGAAGGAATATAAATCGACGAAACGATCGAATTTCATGCAAGATCGAAACACAAGGGTGGTTAAGGCTCTGTATTTTTTGATGAACTTAAGGGCGACGTGTGTTAGCAGCAGCAGTTCTTGAGCAATAAATCAGTTCTCTACGTTTCATGATGACAGACTTTACAAGCATCTTTATCATCTAACTATATGTATATATATATTTTTTTTATTTTTTACTTAATTGCATAGTCGGATTGTAATGTACCCAATCGTTATCAATTGATACAACGGAAGGTCTATGCTAAGCCTAATCGCTGTTCCACTCCCGCAAGTTGATAGAACAGGAGGTTTGTGTCTTACAAGCTTGTGCTGACGTGCAAAAGCTCACACACTCACAGTCTTTTTTATTATTATTATCACTCAGTGTACCATTTGTTTTATGCTCACCTTTCATCTTTGCATCATATTATATGTATATATATATATAATTGATGCGACAGTTAAGGAACTTGACCCAGAGCGATCACTAGCTACGTCATCTAACAATACGTGCTTACACTATAAATGTTTCGGAAACAAACTGCACAGTTCAACGTAATTCATACAGTTGGGATAGGTAGGCATAATGAAGATAAATCATTGGTCCTGAGAGGGCACATAACAACACAATATCTGGCAATTAAAGATTTACGTTACTTGAAAAATATCTAATTATTGTTACTGAGAAGGCAGATAACAACACAATATCTGGTAAATCAAGATTTACGTTACTTGAAAAATACATATTTTAAAATTACATTCATTTTTGTGTCCTACACTGTTACATATAAATATATGAATAGTTCTTAAACATTTCCACCAGAACAGACCTTGTATACATCAGCATTCTGTTACGTGTTATTGCAGTTTCCTACTTGCAAAAAAAGATTGCACCACTAAAAGCTGGAGTTAAGTTTTTCAATTAAATATATATATATATATACACATGATTTTGTGACACTATCAGAGGTCCGTCGCCTAAATGACTATAAGGCTATTTATGAGAAGCCTCACAATACCAAGTCATTACGCCCGTAAGGAAGTAATACATACCTTTGGTGAATTAAAATGATTATAGTGTGCCTTGAACTATTATTACTGGTGACCTTGTCTTTTTTATAATAAGATTACTGATACTGTGGATAAACGAAGATAAAGCGTGTGACTCAATGGGAGTTTTCAGTCCGCAGTAGTTTGACTGTGCTGGACGTGTTTAATTGTCTAAAACCTTCTGACGAAAAATTTCTTCGGAATAATTAAGCCACCAATTAGACGTTTAAAGTGGTGCTTGTTACATTTCCGATTAATGAAACAAGCCCGGCGTCATTAAATTGTCTTACATCCAACACAGTAACGTTCTACACTTATGTATGTTATATGTATTATTATATGTATGTATGTAAATGAGCAAACTTCGGCCGACAACGATTGTCTTAGTAGGTCAATATGTGTCCCTGCTGGAGGCATGACTTGTTGGATATATTATATACATATATATTTACGATAGGTGGCGTACAACGCAATTGAAAGTGGCAACTGTGAATGAAATTGGTTTTTATTGACCTGCTATAACCAAATCTACTCACGGTTAAAGCATGTACGATAATGACTATTGTTTTCCCCAAAACTGGTCTCCTGGTGGGACAGCGGTAAGTGTATGGAATTACAACACTATAATCAGGGGTTCGATTCCTTTCGGTGGACACAGCAGATAACTCGATATGGCTTTGCTATAAAACACACACACACAATAAAACAAACAAAAACCGGTTACAGGTTACAACGCTATAATCAGAGGTTCGGTTCCTTTCGGTGGACACAGCAGATAACTCGATATGGCTTTGCTATAAAAACACACACAATAAAACAAACAAAAAACGGGTTACAGGTTAGTACGCTATAATGAGGGTTTATTTGTTTGTTTTGAATTTCGCGCAAAGCTACACGAGGGCTATCTGCGCTAGCCGTCC